TCTGCTTACCACGTTCATGAGGGTCCGTATAACCTTAAGTGTTGATTATATATATTTTACATAAAAACTGTAATTAAAATTACACAATGCTAGGTTATATTTCTTTGGGTTAAATAATAGTATTCTGTATTATATTTTACTGATGACTGCGTCAGAATTCGTCCCGTTATATTATTGTGCATGTTTGAACTTGATCGCCGGGAAACGTGCACAGCTGATTGCTATTTCCGGCTCAGATACACACGGTAATCTTAATCCCTGCAAATAATACAATGCCCAGCAAAAACAACTTAAGACTTAAAAGGTAAATTATCTTGTCTAGTGATGTTTAATTGCAAATTTGACGTCTCTACTGACAAAGTCGTCTTCTGTTGTTTGTTCACGTGAAGTGATACGATGTTGTTTTCTTACCCCTGGAAAAAAGTTTCACGAAAGCGTAACCCATGGATAAGACGACCCCCTTCTACAGACTGCTTTTTTTGGTCCTCAAAATTCGGCTTATAGACGGTAATATACGGTAGGTATGACATAAGGCAGAACATACCTGCTTAGTAAACTTACTCAATGGCATATACTTAGGTAAGTAAAATGACTGAAATATGCACATATTTGAAAGCAGTGGGTAACAGAAAAAGAAATACCCACTCCCCAAACATTCATAATACCCAAAAATACAGTGGGTACAGTACCCACATGAGCTAAATCTTATCTGGAGCTCTGAGATGGGACAATCCGATTGCAACCGATAATCGATTATGAAATTTCATCAGATTCCCACCACTAATGCTCAGGCTAAGTGTTGACGTCCATTTGAGTAGGAACATTGCATATTATTCATAGTTTATTATTTATTCATTTTGAATTGATGTTAACTATTTAATAAATGTGTTGAGCAGATCCTGATTTGGTTTCTCTCCTTCAAATTGGAAGTCATAAATAGCAACGCCAACCCTGGTTAGTAACTAGTACTGTAAATCGAAAAAGTCAACGAAATTTGACATGACCCACAACATCTCTAAATGGCCCAAGTAACCTGGGGGCAGCCATGGCCCACGTTTTAGAAACGCTGGAATGAACACTGTATCTGAAACAATCAGAATATATAATTTAACTAAAGGCAAACATACTTGACTGACTGAAATCCCAATTTCTGAACATAATCCCAGCAGCTCTCCAGACTGACAGGATCAGCTGTGTCGCACCGCCGCATTGTGCTCCCTGCTCTCATTCATGTTGCATCTGACACCATAACCACGCCTTACCTTAACAATCAACTAGTTGGACAATCAACTAATTATAACATCATAAAGACCATCAATTACAACCTAAATAAACGATCTCATGATCATATACAGGTCAAAACGAGTACAACTTGTTCCACAGGTTCAAGGTTGTTTTAAATAACAGCTAATGGTATATCAGAGTAAATAGATTTGTCATGGTTGAGGGGAGGCGACTTATCAGTCAATTAGATAAATCATTGAAGGCAAACCAAGTTTTATGGATAGTCAACTTCTTTATTGCAATGAATGCGACGTTTCGGTGTAGATACTAACAACTTTATCAAGCAAGTCAGGCCAAATAAAAAAATGTTGTGGTTCCGTAACACCACTTTAAAATTTAGGGTATATGGGTAGGATTTTTGTTAACATTTTTTTTTAGAAGTAAAGTACAAACTAATAACACATTAATCAATGTATAATTGTTTATTCAGTCAAGGTTTCGGCCATTCGACTTTCTCTATCAGAATGACCGATGTCCGTCGGTGCTGGGAAAAAAACAATTGTATCTAAAAGCTTATTTCATTTATACCGCTTAAAAAAATAGGGTCGGCACCAGAGTTCAAGGGTCAGTCGGGTAATTGGAAGCACAACACTTTTTTTAGGCCTGATAACGGTGTTAAAGTACTGTCAGAAATAGAAAAAAACTGTTTTTTCGCATTCATATCTACATTTTATGTAGTTGATATGTGAAAGTGTGAAATATCTGTTAAACTACGTTTGGCCTAACTACAGTCTCAGTGGTAGGGAGATAGAAAACGTAAAAAGAGGACTTTACTGAGGAGAGATTAGTGCAGAAATGAGCAATGCAAGTCCAAAGCGACTTATTTGGAACAGGCTATTGCTTTATGCAAATTAGTGTGCGATGATATTGTATTACAAAGAACACTTTTTAAATGCCCATTTTGAAATTAAACTTAGCTTCATTACAAACTATAGCTGACGTAAAAAATAATAACTTTAATACTGAAACTATTAAGGATGTAGTTGCCATGGAGCACTATCACTATTCATAAAAAGAAATGTTTGAATGAAAAACTATTTTTCACAGCACTAGTGAGCCATGACATGTTTATGCATGGGCAGGGATTTACCTTGAGACCTGTATACTCTTACCAGACACTTCAATATTACCATTAATACTATGTTGTATTTAATATTGTTGTAATTCACTTACTGATATTGTATTGTGTATCATGATCATCACATTGTTACAGTAATTAAACTGCAAATAATACCATAACCCGGCTAGTAGCAGACTCAGTGACAACTTATTGTTACTTGATCCAAATTTTTACAAAAAGTATTTGGATTTTTTCTGCATCCCTGTGGACGCTCTAATAAATTTCGTTGCGTCCATTGTCAATTTTCATGCGTACAGGATGCAGGAATTCAATCTTTAAGCCAGCTCTAGTTAGCTACATTATACTGTGTGAGTGAGTACGGTGTGTTTTATGCCACTTTTAGCAATATTCCAGCAACATCACAGCGGACATTATACTATGTCACCCGTTTCATGTAGTTAAATGACTACAAATATGAATGATTGTGAATGTGATGTACCCTTACAGACGAATATGTGTGCATTTATCTTTATGTATATGTTTCACAGCATTTGTTTTGACTCGTCAAATAAATCCTCAAACATGATCTGTGAGCTATTCCTGAACATCCCCGGTTACACCAGTGGAAACAAATGTTGTTGCAGCAGCCATAAAATGTCTGCTTCCTGTGATGGGATTCAACCTGCTGACCTGACTCGAGGTCAGACATCTTCCCTACATAACCAAAGACGTTAACTCTATCAGCTAGCAAAGTCAGGGTGTCATCTGCACCCACACCCTGGTAACTGTACATAAAGAAGGATAAACTGTACACACTTGAACAACTCTGCTGAATACTGCACAGATATTTAGAGAAAAACAAATCCTACATGACTTTTCAGTGACATTTAAGGACACAATAGTCATCTTCACATTTACATTATTTAAAGGTCACATGCAACCAAAAAATCAAACATAATTAAAACACAATTATCACTTATTCATGACATATAATATACATTGCTGGTTATGAAAAAGCATATAAACAAAATTATAAGCGTACAATCACAAATCAAAAGTGCAATATTTTGTACTTGGGTTTACTTCCCAAGAAACGAAGCAGCGGGATACCGAACCCAGTCAGAGCGGGTGGGTGTGCACTCAAGTGTAACGGCTGGTTCATTTGCAGATGCCGTCACGGCTCATTGTCTGTGTATATATAGAGATGTTGTGTTATTAAATACATGCTCATTTTTTGTGTATAACATTTTGCAATCAACAGACATCATAACATGTCACGTGTACAAGTATCACACCTGCCTGTCTGTGTAATTACATAATGTGACAGAGACCGAACTCGGGCCATAAATCAATGCGTTTTGTTTATGGTGTATAGCCTGATAGGTGTTAAGTTCAAATTGCATGTGGTCAGTGATCTTAGTTTTGTATTGAATATTGTCATTAGCAGACAGGCAGGCAGACACATAGGCGTCAATAAAACAGACATTGAGTTTTGTCTGTGACAACGATATATCTATATCACAGTTAGAAATTCTGTCAACGCTAAATAATGACATTACTTTTAAGTATCGAACTGAGAAAGTGACTCGGTAAGAAGAACGTGTGGTGAAATAGACAAATGAAATTATATAAACAGTTAAATCGGTAATCTACTGTAATAACATATAAAAAGCTCGCGCATGTGAAATATCAACAAAACATTAGAAAAATAGCTCACACCAAAGCCTTCACCAAAAGTCACACAGCACAGGATTAAAATAAGTTCGTTTGATACACTTAAACATTTAGGGTAGTGTTTTTGGAACAGATACCTTTTCAGATATGATCTGAATGCTGAATATGATGGTGCAGTTCTAAGAGTGTGGGTAACGGTGTTACATTCCGTGGCTGAATAAAACACAAAGGATCTTTGGCCATACCTGAGGGTCCTGACTCTAGGTACACACTAGAGGTTCTGTGAAGCGGATCTGAGAGATCTTGCTGGTGTGTACAGCTGGAGATGTTCACAGAGATAGTCAGGAGCAGCACCAGTTACACACTTATAGATGATGCGCAGAACAATTCTGTGACGGACAAGTAGCCAGTGCAAGTCCTGAAGTACAGGTGTGATATGGCTAGACTTTGGACATAGAGAAACTTCTCTTACACAAGTATTCTGGATCGGTTGTAGTTTTGAAATTAGCACTTGCGGAGCCGAGCAAGTAAACTGTCACAGTAGTCTAATCTAGACAATACAAGACCAGAAGAAGGATGAACGTTGATTCTTTAGTCAGGTAATTTCTTATTGCTCCTATATTTCTCAGTTGAATGGAACAGACTTGCAATACATTAAAATGCAGAAAGTCACAGTGTAGGGACAGGGCCAATATTCGTTATAATTTCAGATTGATTATAATCGATCGGGGCAATATAACATTACAAAAGGACAACCACAGACAGATGTAATATTTGCCCAGTCGAGAATGTCCGATACACGTGGACTGTCACTTGCACGACGATGTCATTGCGACCACAACGACACTGACAGCAAAATACAGCAATCACCACACCCTTACTGATCACAAGACCACGGTCTCGGCGACAGCATTCGCATCTAACAGCTGGCATTCTATGCATTAAAACAACAAAGTGTCCTTCCGCAACATCTTGGACTTACCCATCTGGAGAACGAATCATCTGGAAGCGTGAAATTAACAAACGGATAGCTTCCAATACCTTCTGCAAGTCCACAGATATGGCGGGTGATGAATGTGGTACTATGTACGAAACTACTACTGTTACTAGGGATGGAAATGAGAAGGCTTCATTTGAAAGGAACAATATTCGCCGAACAGATTTCTTTCTACACAAAGCCTGTCGTTTGTCTTATTCATGTGACCATGTGGTGGTGGGTTCATTTGTTACATACACACATTTATTTTATTTATTTTTTTCATTCTCGGAGAAACAAGCTACAGAGGCTACTGTTCGGGCATGGTGGCGAAGAAAAGAAACTGACTCCAAAAGTCTACGTCACTGCTCAACATGTCACGCATCATGCATTGTGTAAATCAATACACCTAATTATTTTATTTTGATTGTAGCACACACTGAATTTACTACTTCAACTTTCAGTGTTTGGCGTCATTATTAACAAGAGATCATTTATTTAGTCGGTTACCAAATAGTGTCCAGTTTACCACAAAGCAGTTTTATACTAAATTTACGACAATGTAATCTAGTTACTAACGTCTAAAATACAACATTTAAGGTCTTCTTTTCTCATGCTAGTACGAATGTCAGGAATAAACAAATCGCTTATTAAATAATGGTACTATGTAAAGTAATTGTGTCATTCCTTTTTCAACGGGTCCGATGTCACGCGACCTTGTTTACGTCTTTAGGATTTTACGTACGCTTAACTTGGATAGTAATGCGTGTTTCGTCCATGTCATTCGAGATTCTTATAATCTATACTCCTAAAAAAAAAGTAGGAGAACCTGAACTTTCAATTTCGATAGGAAGTATTATAAGCGTTAACAAAGACAGACATCTGAAGAACGCACAACCATTTCTCTTTATCGCCATTCTGCAACACAACGCATGGAATGCACGTGCGCAACGCAGTAGCCCCATACACGTGCATGGGGGAGGCTGTAGGTGAATTCGTAGACTAGACTGGTATATATGTCGTAGACGGATTGAGCGGTGGATTCGTAGACGTTATTAAAATGGGAAAAGTTCAACCTCAATGATGATGAAAATCGACGAAAAGTGTTTGCATTTTGTTAAATAAATAAAATATATCAGGTAAGTATGATCGGCGGTGAAAATATGCTTGAAATAATAAAATAATAAAATATGCTTCACAGCGGTCCACGTCCGACAAATTTGTGTAAAATTAAAAGATATGTATTAGGTAAGTATCGTCATTCAACATTCAACTACGCAGACCAGCAGAGAAGTAGCAGAAAACACTTCTTAAGAAAACACATCTCCTACACAGAGTATTTCGCAATCAAAATCACAACAACTCAGTGAAACCTGTTAATCCACATTCACAACAACTCAGTGAAACCTGTTAATCCTTCCACAACAATGAGGGGCGGTGGGGTAGCCTAGTGGTTAAGGCGTTCGCTCGTCACGTCGAAAACCCGGGTTCGATTCCCCACATGGGCACAATGTGTTAAGTCCATTTCTGGTGTCCCCCGCCGTGATATTGCTGGAATATTGCTAAAAGCGGCGTAAAACTAAACTCACTCACTCACTCCACAACAATGAAAACAGTCGGGAAATTATGATGAGTAGACTAATTTTGTCCTTTCATCATTTTCGTTATACACATTCTAAGTAAAAATCAAACTTAATATATACTATTATTCAATTATTAATACACGTCTACGAAATCACCGTCTACGAACCAGTCTGGGTTACGAATCCACCGCGTCTACGAACTGGTTTAGTCTACGAAATCACCGTATCTCCATGGGGTGTCATTCTTGATTTTGACGGTTTTCAAGAAGGTTGACAAATCACTGTAGACCATTAATTTTAACAATCATCTTGCCTCACACAGTTGTTAGTGTTTGTTTGTAGCCGGGTTATTTCTTTTTTGTTGTTTGAAAATGAAAATCGTACACATGCAAATTTCACGTCATACACCATTTATCTTTCAAGAGCGATTACTGTACAAACAACTATGGTCATAAGGAAGTGCAAGTGGTGATGCACTCTCAAAACATTCATTATTATCATATCAACATTGATTGACTCCGATATATTCCCCAATTTTTTCAACCGTATACTAAAAATGAAGTTCCACTACACTTTAAAGAGTATATATACATATTGCCAGAATACTGGTTAATTGTGCTAATGTTTATAACTCCCAGACAAACGTAACTTCCATCATATACATATATTCACAACTAATTATTTATTATGTTTTCTCTCTCTCTCACACTCTCACACACACACACACACACACACACAAAATTTCGGATTTTATCTGCATTGTACGTAGGGCGCCATTTAATAGCGTACGATTGCTGCGTGATCAGCATGACCCGTTTGGCTGAGGACTGGTCAGTGTCATCTGCTAGTAGGGTACATGGGATATCTCCATTGACGAGCACATCCTGCTCCGTGATGAGGTCATTGAGGTAGACAAGGCACATGGAGGCAGAGAGTACTCTCCCTTGTCCTACACTTTGCTTTATGTAGAACGCCCGGCTCGTACATCCGTTATTAAGTATATATGGACATGAGTGTTCATAGCTGTGATTAACAAGGTGCCAGGCACGACCTTATATTCCAAGATCAAACAGTTTCATTTGTTGACTAGTATGCCAAATCAGGATCGAATGCGTGATCCTCTCTGTGTATACTTAGAATTGATCGGGGTGGTCAGGCTCGCTGACTTGGTTGACACATGTCATCGTATACCAATTGCGTGGATCGATGTTCATGCTGTCGATCACTGGATTGTCTGGTCCAGACTCGATTATTTACAGACCGCCGCCATATAACTGGAATATTGCTAAAAGCGGCGTAAAACTAAACTCACTCACTCACTCCACAACAATGAAAACAGTCGGGAAATTATGATGAGTAGACTAATTTTGTCCTTTCATCATTTCGTTATGCACATTCTAAGTAAAAATCAAACTTATTATATACTATTATTCAATTATTAATACACGTCTACGAAATCACCGTCTACGAACCAGTCTGGGTTACGAATCCACCGCGTCTACGAACTGGTTTAGTCTACGAAATCACCGTATCTCCATGGGGTGTCATTCTTGATTTTGACGGTTTTCAAAGAAAGGCTGACAAATCACTGTAGACCATTAATTTTAACAATCATCTTGCCTCACACAGTTGTTAGTGTTTGTTTGTAGCCGGGCTATTTCTTTTTTGTTGTTTGAAAATGAAAATCGTACACATGCAAATTTCACGTCATACACCATTTATCTTTCAAGAGCGATTACTGTACAAACAACTATGGTCATAAGGAAGTGCAAGTGGTGATGCACTCTCAAAACATTAATTATTATCATATCAACATTGATTGACTCCGATATATTCCCCAATTTTTTCAACCGTATACTAAAAATGAAGTTCCACTACACTTTAAAGAGTATATATACATATTGCCAGAATACTGGTTAATTGTGCTAATGTTTATAACTCCCAGACAAACGTAACTTCCATCATATACATATATTCACAACTAATTATTTATTATGTTTTCTCTCTCTCTCACACTCACACACACACACACACACACACAAAATTTCGGATTTTATCTGCATTGTACGTAGGGCGCCATTTAATAGCGTACGATTGCTGCGTGATCAGCATGACCCGTTTGGCTGAGGACTGAGCAGTGTCATCTGCTTGTAGGGTACATGGGATATCTCCATTGACGAGCACATCCTGCTCCGTGATGAGGTCATTGAGGTAGACAAGGCACATGGAGGCAGAGAGTACTCTCCCTTGTCCTACACTTTGCTTTATGTAGAACGCCCGGCTCGTACATCCGTTATGAAGTATATATGGACATGAGTGTTCATAGCTGTGATTAACAAGGTGCCAGGCACGACCTTATATTCCAAGATCAAACAGTTTCATTTGTTGACTAGTATGCCAAATCAGATCGAATGCGTGATCCTCTCTGTGTATACTTAGAATTGATCGGGTGGTCAGGCTCGCTGACTTGGTTGACACATGTCATCGTATACCAATTGCGTGGATCGATGTTCATGCTGTCGATCACTGGATTGTCTGGTCCAGACTCGATTATTTACAGACCGCCGCCATATAACTGGAATATTGCTAGTGCGGCGTAAAACTAAACTCACTCACTCTGTGTATACTGGGAGATTATTTCTCTCACGATAAAGGTTGGCACTGCAGCGCCGTATCCTTTACGAAAACCGCTTGAAGTCGATGTGGCAAATCTATATATGGACACTTTTCAGAGGATTCAATACCACTCAAAGGTACCTTTTCGAATATTTTTAATAATGCTGATCATGTCAAAGTTATTCTTCTGTAATTCGAGGGGTCGGACTTCACTTTATTGTTGCCTTTATAAAGAGAGATGATTGTACCAGTCCTGAAGAAGCTTGGAGTATAACAAAGCAGTGTTATCATGTTGAATAAGTTCGTGAGATGTTTGAGAAACGGCACCCCCCTCCATTTGTACTGCAGTCTGGGCCTGGTGCTTTTCTTAATGTCAACTGTCTAACGACATCCTTTATCTCTTGACATATAAAGTTTTCTTGTAGTATAGGGTCACTCTTCTGTTTATTCATTGCCTATATCTGTTCTTTTCGATTATCTATTTCATCTTGGAAGTTTTTGTCAAATTCCGGTCTCTCCAAGGGAGACAATAGGTTAGTACTTCACTTTCCTTTAAAAAATCGATAATAAAATGAAAATTAACATCATTAAAAAGATCCTTAACAGTTTTAACACTGAAATATTTACCCCTTGTAATGGAAAAATCAATACAGTCAAGCATGCTTGACCGTGATTCTCTCATCACAAGAGATACAAAATGGAGGATCCTCACCTTTTAACAGGTATTCATGAGTATATCAACTATGGCCAATGCGACGTCGTCGCATGATGACCTCTTCAAATCTGGACTGCTAGCTTTGTAATCAGAGTATGGAATAAGAAGTGGTGTCACAGATTTGTTGAGTGCTGCCTTAGCAGCAAGATCGGCCATTGTGTTCCCAGAAAT